CAGTCAGCCAGTCAGCCAGTCAGCCAGCCAGTCAGTCATTTATTCAGCCATTCATATTTACTTCTAACGCTTCACAGTATAATTTTTTAGAGGTGACACTGGCTTCCAACACAGTATATGAGTTGGAGGTTCGAGTTCACACCTGCCTCTCCTTTAACTACATACCCGCCTGGGTTTCTGTAACACCGGGAGTCTTCTGCTCACCTTTGGGGCTACAGTGGAGAGATGTGGGTTCTTGATGTGCTACTTTAAGAACATGCCAGTCATACGGGCACTTACGCAATGTTAGACACGCCACGTGTATCAACACGGTCCTCAGAGCAAATGGGCAGTTCCCTTCCTCGCCGCAGAGCCAGGGGAGGGCAGCGCAGGGCAGTGAGGCAACTTGGCCCAAGTCACAGAACGGTGAGCCTGGCGCGGTGGAGACAGACCTGAACGCAACTGCCTGGCTCTCAAGCCCCGGGGCACAACTGGTTTTAAACCGACCTCAGGCTCCCAGAGTGATGACCACGCAGGTGGCACTATGGGTAGAAGCCAGTGGCCTACCTGGACTGCCATCAAGATGCCCTGCCCACTTCCTGGGCCCGTGACCCCCTCTGGGCCAACCCAATGCTCCCCCCTGGTGCCCAGGCCTCTCCCCGGCCATGTTGCCCAGTTTCCAGTCCTCCCCATGGTAGCCGCCCAGCTGCTTCCCCATGGTCCCTTTCAGCCATGATGGCTTCCGTGGCGTGCCACCACCGAGTGGGTCACAGCCCTCCTCCCCACCCAGATCTCCACTGGGAGCAAGGCCCTGTCCTCACCCCACGGTTAGTCATAACCCTGATGGCTGTGTATGGGAGCAAAGAGCGAGGCTCGGGGCGGTCTCCAGGGACAGACCGCTGGCTCCGTCCTTCCATGGGGATGGCTCACCATGCCATAAGCTGGCCTGTCAGAAAATCTGCAGCTGCCACTGGGCAGAATGAGTGCTTTGTGCAAGCTCACACGCTTCCGAACTCAGGGCTGGGTGGGCTCCAAGAAGATGACATTTAACCAGCCTCACGAAGGAAGGTCCTTCGTGTTTTCCAAAGAAGCCATTGTGCAAGTATCAGACGGGAAAGGGAAAGCTGACCAGATAGTCGTTCGTGGGAAGCAGCTCTCCCTGCAGGATCAGTGAGTCACCAGAATAATGCAGCTGTTGCACACACATGTCTCTGGTGGTGCGGGCTGCGTTACTGCAGATGGGGCATCCAGAAACTGGAGCTGAGCTTGGCACTCAGTCAGTCTGCCCAGAGACTTCTGGTCTCTACACTACAGGAGGGATGATGGCAATGACGGTGCACCACTCTAGGGTGGCCTGTGTGGTGAGGAGACCATGGACACTCAAAGGGGTCAGTTCCCACTGAGGAGCTAAGATCCCTTTGTGAAAATATCTACAGGGGACCCTTTGAGAAGAGGTTCCCAAAGGATAATATCAGGGGACAGCCGTGGAAACTGCAGCCATGTTTTATCAAAGCCATTTGGGTGGTAGGTAACCAAAACCAAACTGGAGCTCACCCAGCAAAAGGGAACTTACTGGAAAGTAACAGGTGTGCTTTAGGCCGGCAGCCAGGGGCGGGGGTGGGCCTGGAAGGCCTCAGGAGTGGGGCCATCTGACACTTCACCGGCTCCCCAGTCTGCTCGCTCGCTTGCCACAGAACAGCTTTCTCTTCTCTGGGAGCAGAGGCTGGAAAACACATTCTCCCCATGGCACTGTGTGACCCACTAAACTCTCAGGACTTGGGGTGATGGGCACAAAAAAGGGGGGTGGGTAGAGCAAGCCAGAGGAGGCCACTGTCCAGGCAGGCAGGCCGGCTACAAAACAGTAACCCACAGTCACGGGGGGTGGGGGTGGGGGGGTGCTGCTGCCCAGCTCAGCGGGAGTCTCCCCAGGATCCCAGGCCCCTGGCCAGCCCTGGCCCTGCCCCGCCCGCCCCACGGCCAGCCCCGTTGGTGGTTTGGAAGGTTCCCTCCCCCCGTTTTTCTCTATGGTCTCACTACAAATGGACGTGTGCTGAGGAATGGAGAGCCGCCTTCGGCCAGCCTTGGCGAGGGAGGACTGAGCCTCTGTCTTCTGCCATGCTGCTCTTTAGCTGATCCTGTATGTTGACTGCAGGCCGGTCCCCACCCTGCAGCATGTCAGGTTTGACTCTGCAGTCATTATTACAGCTTCAGCTTTTGCCTGGTTGTTTCCAGCCCTGGGCACTGTGGTGCTCAATGTGTCCCCGAGCAGCACCTGGGTGCAAGGCCTGCAGGGCCGGTTCTGACTCACTGGGCCTTACAACTCTCCTGTGGGAGGGGGTCCCTTGGGGGCAGGGCGAGAGATTCATTTCCCCAGTTTCTCCTTCAAGCTGTGTTAAAAGTGGTATAAGGGAGGAGCTGGGGGCTTGTGGTAACATGGGTTTGCATGTGACTCTACAACTTACTAGCTGGTGACCTTGAGCGGGGTCATTTCCCTCTCTGGGTCTCTAGCTTTCTCTTTGAAGTGGCTGGGGACTGCTGGTGGTGTCAGAGGGAGCCAAGGCGCCAGGAGGGCAGGCTGGGCCTGGGCTGGGGTCACTGTCAGGGCTGGCGCCACAGTGGAAAAGGTCAGTTAGGCATCTGTCCTAGGAGTCCGGCCCAGCTTCCTTCCCCTCGGCCTGGGCTGAGGCAGGAGGGCATGTGGCTGGCTCCCTGCAGAAGACACTGTCAAGGGGTGGAAAACACCCCCTAGAGAGACCTGAGAAGTGAGAAGCTGGTCTTCCAGTCCCATGTGGAGAGCCGGAGCCAGGAACTGTTGCCCTGTCCACCGCGCGGTGACCCCAGCACCCAACCAGGTGCATGCCCTGTCCCTACTGGGGCTGGCCAGGCCTGAGCCCCAGGACCTGGAGACAGACCTCCGATCTCTAGGCCATCTCTGCATCACAAGGCGGCCCTGGGCTGTGGGTCCCTCGTGTGAGCCCCACCACGGGCCTCGGGAGCTTTGCCCCTGGATTTTAAGCCAAAGGGACAGGGAGATGTCACGGCCTGCCCCTTCTAGGGGGTCTTGGACTGGAGGCCCCTGAAATTCATGTGGGATTTTGCTATCGGCCTCCAGTGTCAGACACGGGAGGGTCCCCCTTCCTTTCCCGTGGAGTAAGTGACCGTGGGCGTTTCCTCATCTGTGAAGTAAGCACTGAGCCAAGTCCTGGGCTATCCCAGCTCAGCCTCAACACTCTAGCAGGACCCTGGCAGCAACTGCGGCTCCCTCCATGGCCTCCCCATTTCAGAGGGCATGCTTGGCACTCCCAGAATAACCACAGTGACCCCACTTTTTGAGCCATGTGCTTTACACACACTACTTTGGCTCCTGGCTTCCTGGAGAACAGACAGTCACCCTTTCTAGTACCCTCCACCGGAGCCCTTCAGCCTCAGCTCTGGCCACTCCTCTGAAGGAAAGGGTGCTGGCCCTGGGGTAGGCCTCCTGAACCCCTGCCACACAGAGGCAGTAGGTCTCCCAGGATGTTGCCAGCTCTCTGCAAGCTGGTCCGCCCTGGGCCAACGTTCGGCGCGGCGGGAGAGGTGCGAAGTGTGGTGCTGGGGCGCCCTCTAGCGGCTGGCTGTTGCCAGGACGGGGAAGCCCCTTCTCGGAGCCGCCCGCGCGGTCTCGCCTGCAGGGGCCCCCCCCCTCCAGAACTGAGAACTGTCTCTGACCCTTGACTTCCCAGATACTCTAACACGGCTGCGCGCCCCGCCCCGATGGCCGAGGAGACCGCTTGTACACTTTCCCCGTGTCCTCCAGCGTGTCCTAATTGGGGGGCCCGCAGGCCAGACCAGCACCCACTTAGCGGGCCCATGAGCACGGAGACCCCAAAGACGCTGGCTGTGGAGAAAGTGAAATTCTTCTGTGGGCACCGGCACCGTAGGGAGGTGAGGCCCAGTGGGCTCTGTGTACGTCTAGTAGGCTCCCTGGGTCCAGAGTGGTTCCTGGTTCTGGTTCTGTAGTCAAGAGCTTCAGAGTGTTCTCTGGACTTGAGCTTCGGCTCCAGAATGGGCGCTAGGTTCTCAGCTCTGCTTCCAGAGAGGGCTCAAACTTCCCGCTGAGCCACTGTCCTTCAGGCTCTGGGCACCAGGTGAACTCAGCATTGAGTAGATTTTGGACACCTAGCTCTGGGTTCAAAACTAGAACGTGCGTTGTGCGCCAGGCTTCAGCATCTGGCGTCTGTTGCTCTGGCTTCCGGGGGTAGAGTGCCATGCCAGGCCCCACGCCCAGGATGCTGAACCGGGTGTCTGAGAGCAGGGATAAGTAGACAGGTGCTGGATTGGGACTGTTTTCGTGCTCTCCTTCCAGGTAAATTCCTCTGCCTTACCCCCCAACACCCAGACACTGATCACAGCCTCAGAGGGTGGCTGTCTGGCTGTGAGACCAAGTGGCGGGGTGGCCACACAGGTGGGCTCCTCGGCCTGGGGGGGGGGGGAGATGGTGGCTGAGGGCCTGCTGGGGGCCTAGGAGCATGACCCTGGGCGGGGCTGGGGCAGGAGGTGACAGGAACCGGTGCCTGGGGCGGAGACCTGGATGCAGGTTCTGCTCATGCTGCAAGTCATATTTACCATGTTAACTTATTTTAGTTTAAGACAATAGAAATTCTTTGTCTAATGGCTCTAGAGTTTGTAAGTCTGAAATCAAGGTGCCAGCAGGGCCAAGTTCTCCTGAAACCCTAGGGAAGAATCTTCCAAACTTGTGGAGACCGCTACCAACCCCCACCTTCCTTGGCTTGCAGGTGCATCACCCCAATCTCCGCCTCTTGTCACACGGGCATCTTCCCGGTCTTCATCTTGAAGCGCTCAGATCCTAAGTGTTAAGTGTATTTACACTGTCGTGTAACTAGCCCCAGGTTCTTTCCATCCAGCACAACTAACTGACACCCTATTCTCACTCAGCTCCCCTTCGGCTCTGCTCCGCCAAAGTGAAATCATGCAGCCTCTGCTGTCGGGTCATTTCACTTAGCACAATGTCCTTCAAGTTCATGTGTTTCACCCTCTTCTGTGCTCCGACTGTTGTCCTGACACCTCTGAACCTCTTCCCAATGGGGTAGAGCTCCACCCTATGGGATGAGACCATGCAGAGTGCTGGTGGCACCTAGGTAGGCCTTGGCCAAGGTGGTGATCAAAGCTGTTGGTGACTAGGAGACTGATTGAGCTGTGATAAGGAGTCTGGGGCTGCAGTTCTAGGGAAGACAGGGAAGCCCAGGATTTCCCGGAGGCAGGTGAGGAGCAGGGAGGCTGGGGACAACCCTGGACTGTGGAGGGCAGCCTGATCCCTGACCGGGCTGCCAGCCCCAGGCCTTGTGAAGTTCTGCCATGGCTGCCTCTTTGCCAACACCTCCTGTGACTGCGGTCCGCCTGTGGGACGCAGCACAAGCTGAGTGTCTGCGGGCAGTAAAGGGTGAGTGGGCCGGGGGATGGGAGCCAGGTAGTCAAGCCTGGGTTCCCTTGCTCTGTCCTGTGCCACTTTGATTGTCCCGACCCTGGGGCCTGCAGGTCACCAGTGGAGTGTGGAGACGGTCAGCTTTAGCCTTGATTTGAAATGGATGACATCAGGGGGCCAGGACAAGTAGGTGATGTTCTGGGAGGCGCAGGTATGTGGCAGGTGGCCAGAGGGGGGCCTGGCGGCTGACAGGCCCCCTGCAGGGTGGCTGCCCTGTTGTACCCCCTGCCCAGGCCCCCAAAATGCTGCAGCTACCAGCCCTCGTGCCTAAAACTTCGGCCCATGCCCGCACTGCCCACCTCACCCACCTCTCAAGACCCCCCAGATCGAGTTAGTCACCCAGACAGGCTGGGTCTGACCCATTGGCCTGGAGTCTGCCGTCTGCAGCCTTGGGCAGCTCAGGCCTCTTCCTCCAGCCTGTCACTTAGGACGTCAAGACCATCCGAGCAGTGACTTTGCACCCAACCCAGAAAGCCGGTGAGCCCCAAAAAGCCTTAAGAAGCCCACACCACTTCCCCACTTGGGGTGGAGCCCTGGGTGCTGGGGTCCTCTCTTTAAGGCGGAATCGTGAGAACAGTCCTTTCTCCCGGCAGCCTCACTGGCCTGGAACTGGGGCAGGGCTGTGCTCACAGCAGTTCTCTGCAGGCCACAGGTCCCTGGGGTGCCACCATCTGCATCTGGGACCTGCGAGTGGGGGCTCCGGCGATGGTCCACAAGGAGCTGGCGGGCCAGAGGCAACGTCAGCTGCCTCTGCTACTCGGCATCTGGCCTCTTGGTGAGCTGGTGGCCTGGGGTCCAGGCTGGCCCTTCGCCTCCTGGAGGGTGACGGGCCTCTTTGGGCCCTAGCGATTATCTTGGCCCCAGGCATGAAGCTTCATGCCTCCACGCAGGTATCCGGCTCCCGCGACAAGGTGACCCACGCCTGGAAGCCTTCCTCCACAGCCCGCTTGTCCAGCTTAAGGGCCACATCAGCGGGGTGAACAGTGTTCTCCCCTGCAAGCAGCAGCTGGCCAGTGCTGGCTACCTGGGAACGGCGACCTACCCGGTTGCCCCCTGCCCCAGCCTTCCTGGCGGAGCCCTCCACAGAGGAGCCCACACCTGAATCTCCGACAGGAGGGCACCAAGGTCACGGCCGAAGCCAGCCCCTGCTGTGCCCAGTGCCCAGAACTCTGGGCTGACCCAAAGGTCAGTGGTATTGTCACCTCCAGTCCTCAGGTGGCCTTGCAGGAAGGAAACGATGCATCAGCTATCATGCACCCCAGGCCCCAAACTCAACAAGTTGGCTGGACTCACCCCAAGGTGACTTCAAAGACGCCAGACTGGCCTGGTGAGGCCTCCCTCGCGACCCACTGCGCTTCTAGCTGCAGGTCAGTCTGGCACTGCAACTCAGGAAAGTGCTCGGACACCCTCAAGGCAAGGCCGGCCAGTGGCTGAGGCGCCCGAGGGGGCGTGGAGCCCTCCTGACAGGGAGTTCTGGACGCGCCCTACACATGCACCTTCACCTCCGATGACTCTTAGTGTCTGGAGCTCCCCAAGGCTGATGGGGCCAGACGCCAAGCCCACTGCGACCCGCTCCCCCGTGTAGGGGGTCCCCGAGCGCACCGACGGGCAAAGGTACCTGGGCCCCAACCTCTCTTCCGCCCGGCAGAAGGCTCCTGGAAGGGCAGGTGCAGGCCCAAAGCAACCCTGCCAGCAGCCGTGGCCCACAGGGCAGGAAAGCTGAGCGGCCCGACGCCCTGGCGGAAGCAGGCCTCGGCGCCCCCGCGCAGCACACATGCGCACACGCAAGGCGCCAGCCAGTGGCTTTATTGACGCGCCTCAGGCTTTGACCGCGTACTTCCGCAGCGGGTACAGCCGCTCCTTCCGCTGCTGCTTCTTAGTCTTCAGGTTCTGCTCGTGCTTGGTGAGCCGGCGGCGCATGGCGCGCGTTTTCTTGGGCCGCAGGTCCAGGGGCTTGTACTTCTTGCCCTGGGAGGTAGAGAGCAAGGGATTCTTGAGGGAGCGCGTCTAGGTAGCGCTAGCAGCCGAGCCCCAGAGGGTGGGGGGTAGCAACAGCAGAGGACTAGGCAGGCCGTCACCCAACGGGAAGGCCGGCATGGGGCTGGAGAAAGACCAGAGGCCACACACCTCAACCACTAGCTCACTCAACTCCCCCAGTTTTAAGGCCCACGGGGACTGTCCCACTGTCAGCTGATGAACCTGCCCCAACCTCAGCGCAGCTACAACCGAATGCGGGCTCCCAACCCGGTGCTCCTTCCACCCGATTCCCAGCCGACGCAGTAAGGGGCACGAGGTACCCACGAGGCACGGACAGCCCATAGCTGAAGTTAGGCAAGATGTGCACGCGGCGGCAGGCAGAAGCCTGGCTCAGTAAAGCTGGAGGGGCTGCGTCTACTGAACAGGTGAGCCCGAGTAAGGCCGTCTGCGTGCGGGCAAAGCGCAGACCCTGCCACAGCCTGCCCTCCTGCCCTCAGGTGTAACAGGGTGCCAGTCTCCATTGCCGCCCCCAACCCCTTCGTTGCCTTCCTTCAGCAAAGGCCCCTCCTCAGTCCGCGGGCCTCCGCTGGGTGCTGGCTCAGTGACCAGCCAGGCCTGGCCCTGCCCAGGCGCTCTCAGGCCGTTGGGAAAAGGGAACACCTCGCAGTAGCGCAGTAGAGAAGTGAGATTCAGGAAGGTTTCACCTAATAGGAAACAGCCTGAAATCCAACTGGATGCCAGTTGGAAGGGGATGGAAGAGTTTATACAAACCCCCCTCGAGTGACAGCTCAGGCTTTCTGGGAAGCGCGGGTGTGAGAGGTTACGCGAGGGCACGCTCTGGCAGCACAAAGTTCTTTCCTTGGCTGAGGCTCTTGCACTCTGCTGCCTACATGCAGCCACTGCCACACACTAGCCCCTTGATATTAAAGACTCAGTCCCCTGGTCATCACAGCCGCACGAAGTGTGCAACAGCCAGCCACTGTCAGAGCTGGCCACGCCGGAAAGTCAGTCACAGAACACATCTATGGCCACCCTGACAGAGGCAGAGATCGCCCTTCTGCCTCTGCCTCGGCGCTGTTGGGGGGTGTCTGCTCACACTGCCCACATGGCACAGGCCGGGCAGGCCCACGCTCGCTTGCCAGCTGCCCCGAAAGCAGCTGCTCCACACAGCCTCTACAGTTCCTCAGAGGTGACAGCACCCACCGCATGCAGCTGGCCCAGCTCCCTGTGAAGCCTTTTAATGCCCCGTGAAACCTTTCAGTTAACTAAATACAAATCTGGATATCGATGCAAAGCCATTTCTCAAATGCATTAAACCCTGGTCACCCCTGAGAAATTGCTGTCCAGACAGCAGCTCCAGCTCCCCCAAGCCCTGGGCCCCGAGTTCCAGCCTGCCCACAGCCTTCCTTCCCAAAGGCCTACCGCCTTTGGGCCTGCTTGGACATGCGCAACAGCATGTTCTTATTGGGTCTGCTTCTCGGCTTGGTCCCTGGACACGCACTCTAGAACAGGCCCAAAAAGCAGTAATAGCAATCCTGGGCTAAGGAGCCACACAGCCCTGGAATTCTCCCTGTAACTCTTACTCTATCCCTCCCCCCAGACAAGCCTTAGAATCAGGCTCATCACCTCATTAATTATAGGTGATCCCAGGGATCTTAACCAGTCTTGGGGCCCTCATCTGGAAAATGGGAATGTTAGGTGCTTGGCAATGACAGAGTGCTAACAACAATCAACACAGGGCCTCCCTGTGGCACAAGGGGTTAGGTCTCAGCACTGTGAAGCTTTCTGCAGTCACTGCAGCTGAGTTCCATCCCAGCAGGGGGCTGACCCACACGGCACAGCAGACCTCTCCTGCCTGTTCCCCTCAGCAGTAGATTTCAGTCCATCTGCCTGTTCTGCTTCCCAATGAACCCTCTCACTTCCCTGCCAGAACCTCTGGCCTACACCCCAGTTTTTAAGTGCATAAATAAGTATTAAAAACAAAAACAGTCAAAGCAGTTCAGGTTGACCTCAGCCCGCCCAGTGAGGCTGGATTCAAACCAAAGACCCAGCCAGACTCCCATTCTGACAACAGCAGCACAAAGAAATGCCAGGCAGAGGGAGAACCCAGGTCCAGGCACCTCCCCAGAGAACCTCTTCACCACCACTGGGGCAGAAACTATGCTTCCAGCCCACACTCACCTTGTAGAACTTTCTGAGGTTCTCTTTCTGAGTCTGGTTAATGACGGTGAGAACACGGGCGATGGATTTGCGAACAACTCGGCTACAACACAGAGACATCAGTCAAGGGGGGGAAGACACCCAGCTCCATCACCTGGCTGTCCCAGGGGCTACCCCCACTTGAGCATCCGTTCACTCTGGAGGAAGATGTGCGGGGAGGCCAGTGGTGGCACTACTGAGGGGTGTGGGAGGGGCTGGCTGGGTGGGGGTTGGGGTAAGTTCATTGCAGTCATGCTCAGTGATGCATGCTGGGAAGGGTGGCTGCCAGGTAAACATGGTCTTGGGGTTTATGCATGCAACTTATTTCCATGTCCCCAACTCATCCTGTTTCCTCCTAACATAGCAGTTAAGGTTGTTGGGGACATTTAATACAAGAAGGAAAAGAACTCTGGGAGTTGAGCCAACATGCCCACTGGGGAAGATGAGGCAGAGGTGGAATTTGTACCCAGATGGGCCAACCTCAACCCCCCACACTCCTTTCACGGGTCTGGACGCTTGACCCCGCAGCTTAAAGTACTGCTCAAAAGGGGTGGTACGCACCCATCTACCAAGCGAAAGAGGCAGAAGGAAAAGAAGTCCGAGTGGGAGAGGCCCAAAGAGGCCTCCGAAGCCGTTAATCAAGGGGCCTCAATTTTCTCCAGCAACGGCACTTCCGGCAACAGAACCACAGGGTCAAAAGCTGGTTAGAGAAAAAGGCCTCTGCGTGGCCAGGTGCTAGGTGCACCGGTGAGCCGGGCGGCGTGACGGTCCGACCCACACGCTAACAGGTGGGCACGTGACACGGCCCCTCCGGAAGCCCGGCCGTCCCGAGGCGCACGCGGATCCCTGACAGGACACGCGGAAACTCACATCTTGGAGAGTTTGGACGCGGCGCCGCCGGTCACTTTGGCGACGCGCAGCTGGGACAGCTCCACCTTCAGGTCGTCCAGCTGTTTCAGCAGCTCCTCCTTCTTCTTGCCGCGAAGGTCCCGGGCCTTTATTTTGGCCTGCGCGCACGAACGGGCCCCGGTTAGACCCTCGCGGGGCCGCGCCCCCCGGCCCCCTACCCACCAGCGCCGCGGCACCTGCGTCGTGGCCAGGGCGCGCGCCTCGCCCTAGGCCGCCAGCGTCCGGGGCCTGCGTTCCCACCCCTACGCCGTGCCTCGGGGGCGAGCCGACGCCCCGGCGGGCTCGCTTTCGTGCATGGCCGCTACGAGGCTGCTATCCCATTCTGCAGATCGCAAGACGGAGGCTCAGCTACGCGCGCGCCTCTCCCGACCCAGGCCCGCAGTCGGGACCGGGTGAAGGCGGAAGGCTGGCTGTGGCGGCCATCCCCCACGGCGCCCCACAGGCCCTGGCGGGAATTGGGCCCTTTGGTTCACCCCGCGCCCCTCACTGTAGCCCCTGATCCCCACAGCACGCGGATGGCGCCCGATTCCCCCAACCTCACCATAGCTGCTCAAGCCGCCACCGCCGCCGCCTGCTCGAGGGAAAGAGGAAAGGGGCGGGGCTGACCTCCGCAACTACTGCCGGGTGGCGGTGGGCGTGGCCAAGGCGCCGCGCGGGAGTCCGCTCCGCCCCCTCCCGGCGAGGAGCGCGGCGTCCCCCTAGCCCTCCCCGACGAGCCGGAGCCCCGCCCGGAGCGCCGGGCTCTTGCCCCTCGTGGGTCATTACCGTGTCTGCTCACCTCCCCGAGGCGCGGTTGGGGAAACCGAGGCCAGGATTGAGTGCCACCTAACTAGAGGCCGCAGTGAGGACCGGATCCGTCCATTCATTCTTTTATTCGTTCATTCATTCGGTTAAGCCGTGCGGACTTGTGCTGCTCAGACCTAGGCGCCTGGGTTCTGGGGTGGGAGAAAAAGAGTGAGGGTTTTTGTTGGGGGGGAGTGGGAGAGGATTGAGGCTTTTCCAAGATAAACTAACTCGGCTCCGGCTTTGGAGGAATTTAAAGCCCGATGTGGGCGGGGAGGGGCGGCGACCAACTGCAATAATCCTGCTTGCTGACCGCTCTGGTGGAGGCTGCTGGCGGCTGGGGAAAGCTTTTCCTGAACCGGACCAGTTTTAAATACTTGCTCTCTTGCCTGGTGCTAGCCCATACCGTGGCGAATTCCTTCCCCTCTCTGTTTCGTTACCTGTTAAGTTGGTGAGAATTAGCAGCTAACAAGTAAACGGCTGACGCAATCAATGCTCAGTTGTTTAAATGTCATCGGTTTTGTCATGGTTCCATTGCAAAGAACACTTGAGTTGGGTCCTGAACGTTTTTTAAAGAGGGATTCACAAAGCAACGAAGGTGCTTATGCCTGGCAACCGGGTGGTTTCCTTGCTGTGTACAGTGCGAGTATCCTCACTGGCATTAACCAAGATACACCAGCATCTCACAGCTCTGATTACAGCCAGGCTGCCCCCTTGCTGCTGTCAGTTGTCTCCTCCTCCTGGGAATGCTGTACCTCTTACAGGGTTCTGTTAATGGATCTTGGCCTTGGAGAGGATTGGGACAGAGCTCCCTTGCATCCCAAGCTTTCTGTTCTCCAAAAGGTGAGTTGAAATGGTGTCTGTGTGTCTGTTTCCGCAGCCCACCTGACAGGTCCCTGGGGCAGAACCACAGCCAACACCTGACTGTGTTTTCTTTTTAAGTCTCCAGGCCCAGCATATGAATGCTCTTTGAATGAATGAATGAATGAATGAGCCTTGCACTAGGCCACAAGGAGGCAGGCTTCCAAGATGTGGAGGCTTATGGGGAAGAGAGGGCAGGTAATTCTGTCATGAATTAGTCTTAAATCGAAACTGGATGATGCATAAAGGCTTTGCTGTCATGTTATCCAATGCTTATAACTTATTAGAGTTAACTGCACATCTCTGAACTTGAAGTCATCTGTGACTCCTGTTTCTCTTACATGCCACTTCTGATGGTAAATTCTGGAGTCTCTGACTTCAAGATATATCTAGCTTCTTCCCATAAACTTTATTGGCACCTGCCTGACCTGAGCTATCATCACTTGTTACCTGTCCGATTGGTGCCACCTCCTAAATCACCTGATTTAGCTTTACTCCTCTATACAGCTGCTGGGACCTAGATCATGGTACTGCCCTGCTTGTAATTTTCAGGCCCATTTCCTGATTTTTCCTTCAGGCTACAAGCTCTACAGCATTCCCTACTTCCATCTCAGCCCTTGTCACTTTTCTGCCTCTGTGTGGCCTTGCTGTTTCTGGAATACAAGACTGCCCTGCCTCGAGACCTTACATGGCTGCTCCTTCACTTCCTTCAGATCCCTGTTCAGTGTCACCTTCTCTTGGCACCCTTCTTGGCCCTGGTGTCTAAGGTACTCCTGCACTGCACGGTCTCTTCTTTAGGACTCAGTCATCTCTGCCTACTGTAATATGACTTTTAATTTTGTATCTCTAACTGGAGTAGAAAATCCACAACAATAAACAGAGACATTATTTCATTCACCAGTTTACTGTTTTTCAAATGTTTAAATTTATACATACAAGAGCTGGGGTGTAGGCCAGAGGTGTGGGAAGGTGAGAGGATTCACCAGAGACAGAGTGGGGAGCACAACAGGCCAATTTACGGAAATACACAGCTGAAGGAAACAAGCAGGTGAGACAGAAGAGGTCTGCTGCACCATGGTCAACTCTTTGGCAGTACTGAACTCATGCTGCAGTGGCTGCTAATGGCTTCATGGTGCTGAGACTAACCCCTTGCACCACCAGGATGGCCCTCATTCACCAGTTTATTTGAGAGAGCTATTTCTTTACTTGTAAAATGTCAATTCTGGTTTAAAGTTCTTCCTGATTAGAATGTTCTGAGGGTACAAATTTGTACCATCTGTGGCCTGCCTGGGTCACAATGATATATTCCAAGGTATGGAGCTGAAATGCGGTTGGGTTTTGCCTGTTTTTAGGAACCCTGAGACTTCAGCACCTATTTCCCACGTGGGAGTCCATAGCTTTAGCCCAAAATTAAATGGTATCATAGTCAGCCGATATTTTTTGACTTGCAGATAGAGTTCAACGAGAAGTGCTCAATAAAAATAAGTCACGTGTCACTAACTAATAACCTTTATTAAAAAGAGTACTGCATGGAAACAAAGACCCAATTTCGTCTAAGGCGAAGGTCCACTAACAGAACCCCTCAAGAAAAAGCCTAGGCTCAGGTCGTCGTTGTCTACGCCTTCCCTTCCCCTCCCTGTCCCCATTTCAGGATCTGGGAAATTCCATTTCCTACTAGGATCTGCCTCTCCAGCCAGGGCCAACGTCTCAGGGCCTCGGACCTCGCCTTACCTCCTAGAATGGTGGCCAAATGTTCACCTTCCTCTCCCCCACCCCACCTGCCAGTCCAAGGTGACTGCTGCACACGCGGGCCGGCCTTAACTCTGTTCTCCAATAGCTTCCCAGCGCTCTGGATACACTTTAGACGTCTTTCAAGTCTCCCGGCCTGTCACAATCATTTCTCTGTGCGAGCTCTTCCAGCTCAGTGTAGTGGTGTCCCAGGCTTCTAAGCTCTGAGACTTAGGGCTCCCTCCCCTCGGCCGTCGCCTGTTGTAAGCACAAGCGTAAGTAATACCGGGCAAGGGACTATTACTCATCGCTCGGGTTTCGGGTCGAAGGTCTTCCAAGAAGCCTGCCCAGGCCGAACCTGGCTCCTTCCGCTGGGGACTTCTTGCCCTTCAATCTGGGCAGAGATCAACCTGAGTCCGCGGCTGCGCCCCAGCTGACCCCTTTCAGGGCGGGTGGCTCCTCCGATGCAGGTGGGAAGCAGAAGCAGCGCAGTATAGCGAACACCGCGCTGGGCCTGCACAGGAATTAGTCGCCCGTTCCTTGGACGCGCAGAGCGAGGTCCACAGAAGGCGAGAATCAAGTGGGAGACCACCGGGCGACCACCGGGCGACCACCACACCGGTCACCCAGACACGCCCCGCAGACCACGCCCATCAGCTTCCGGTTCCGGCGCAGACCGGAAGTGGGCGGGCGGCGGCGGCTGCGCGCGGAGGCGGTGGAGGAGGTGCCGAGCAACCGCTTCCCGCCCCCGAGCAGGAGCCGGTGCAGAGCCGATCGGAGTCTAGGTCGGGCTCGGAGCGGAGCGGGCAGAGCGGGCACCGAGCCCCCGCCATGGCCCGGAACACCCTGTCCTCGCGTTTCCGTCGGGTGGACATCGACGAGTTTGACGAGAACAAATTCGTGGACGAGCAGGAGGAGGCGGCGGCGGCGGCGACCGAGCCAGGCCCGGACCCTGGCGAGGTAGACGGGCTCCTGCGGCAATATCCTTCCCCGAGGCGACGGCCCGGCCTTCCCGAGCCCTTCGGCCCTGGGCCCCGGTTGGCCGGCCTTCCCGCTCCCCTCGTCCCCGCCGCCGGCTCCGCCCGGCCGGCCTCACTGCTACTCTCCAGCCCCTTAGGCCAGTCTCCCAGCTCCCTTCGTGAGCGCTCCCCGCCGGTGAGGCGCCCCCACATTCCTCAGACTCGGCCTCCCCATTGCCCTTTCTCGGCGCGCGGCTCCCTCAGCAGCGCAGCCCCACGCGTCCCTGGACCCCGGTGAGCCGCCGGGTCCGGGAGCAAGCCAGACGCGCCTCCCTCCCCGCAGGCCCCTCGCCCCCTGCAGGCTTCCCCTCACCCCCGCCGCCCCGGCCTCTTCGTCCCCTCCGCTGACCCTTGGGCGCCCCACTATTCCATCCCTCCCTCTCTCCCTCGCTGGAAATGGAGCCGAGAGGTTGACGGGCTGACGGGCGGGAGGGGCTAGGTGAGCCAGCCTGAGTAATTAAGCGGCCGGGGCGGCTCCGGGCACTACCCTCCCGGGCCCGATTGCAGCAGCACCCGAAAATAGGTGGGTGGATGGCTGCGGGGAGAAAGGAGCCGGGGGAGGGAGGCTGTCCCCTGAGACCAGCCCCTGCGGCTGGTCTCACTGCACCGCCCACCCCGTCCGCTTCACCCTCCACCATAATGCCACTCACTGGCCTCGTCTGTTTCTTGCGGACACCCTGATGTCCTCCTTCAACAAGTGAGTTTGGGCTCCCTCCAGGCCCTTCCCTTGCAGGAAGCAGCGGGGAAAGCTAGTAGTTGAGAGCTAAGAAAAACCAGGCGGCATGAAGTGAAATGTAAAAGGAGAGCGCTGTGACTGGAAACGACTCTTCCTGTGGTCACAGAAAACGGGCATTTAGAAAACAAGAGTAAAAATAGCGGTGGTCGTCACGGCCTTCTTGTCCCGGGGGCAGTTCCAGCGCAGGAAGCGCCTTATTCTCACAGGAAGGCTTTTTCTTTATTGAAATGGTGTTGCAGGAAGTGCCTGCCCCTCCCCCACACTTGCCAGGGGGAGGGTTGGAGGTTCATGCTGTATATAAATCAGGTTCTGGGAGTTTATGCAGTTGACTCAGCTTGGGAAGGCAGGCCCGAGACTGCCTTAAAACAAAAACCATCCTCCTCTGAACAGGAGTGTTTTCAGAGGTAAGGAATCAAACTCGTATTTCCTGCCCCTTCAGGATCTCTTTGCGTGCCCCTTTGGCGAAAGGCAGCCATGGGCACCTGGGAGGGAAGGCTGATT